TCTGGGTTCTTTTTGTTGCGCAATAGAGCCCTGGGGCTATGCGGCCTCATTGGCCCGGGGCCGTGACGTCACGCCTGGGCCCCGCCCGCAGACCCTGCGGAGGGAGTCTTCTGGGTCCGGTGGGTTCCAGGCTTGTCACACCAGCAGCCTGCCCTGCCATGGCCTGGGGGGAGAGGGAGGGAAGGGAGGGTGTCCGGGATCCAAGGGGAGGAGGAAGTTCCACCTGAAATGCTGCGGGGACTCCTTGAGTGTGATTCGGGGAAAACTTCCCAGCAGGGGGCGGCAACACCCTGCTTGCCCGGCTTCTGGCCCCTGGTGTCCCCTGCTCCCTGTGAAGAATGAACAGAAGGTGTGTGATCAGTGGGTCACTGGTCACCAGCCTGGAGGAAGGAGGACTCTGTTCCCACCTCACTCTGCATTTGGAGACCTTGCTATCCATCAGTGACATGCCTCCCCCATGCCGGGACCACCAGCTCATGAATCCACCAACCCAGCTCTCATACCTCCTCCCAGTGTTCCTCTGGGCTCTGAACCTCAGTGTCCCCATGTACAGTGTGGGAACAGCAGGACCTGTCCTGCAGGGGTAGGAGGCTCAGGACAATCTCAGCTTGTGGAAACCAAAAAAAAAAAAGACCTAGTTTCCAAGCATTTTAATGTTTGAGAGGCCAGGATTTTGATATCAGGTAAGCGGAGTTCAGATCCTGGCTCAGGTGCACAATAGCTTGGGCAAATTGTTTTACCTTTGCTTAACCATCTTTGAAATGGGAATGATGACAGTCCTTCAGAGAAGACCACTGGGGTTCTAACTGAGAGGAGTGTGCCTCTTTGAAGGAGGATGCTTCCTGCCTCCACCCGTACGGCACATTCTCCTCTCTGCAGACCTAGCGCCTTTAGATACAGGGAGACAATGTTAGGCTAGACTTCGGCTAAACTTGGGGAAGACCTGGCACCATGAGAGGGTGAGCCAGTGGCTGTACCAGTGAGCAACAGGTGGGCAAGGTGGACTGGACTGGGCCCAGGGTCACAGGTGTCAGACAGCCTGCTTCATCTGAGGGAAGACCTCCCAATCTGGCAGGAAGAAACAGATGCCGTTCCCCCCAGGTGCATGCTGAATCCAGTTTCTATGTGATAAAGATCACTGGCGTCTGCAGCCTCTGGCCCACAGCAGCACACACACACTGCCTGCCCTCGACCCCTGGTAGGCTGCAAGGCACCCCACCTGGCTAGAGGCAGCCCTGTGGCGGCCTCCTCACCCTCAAAGCTGAGCTGTCCCAGGTTCTGGTTGGGGTGACTCTGCATCTGCCTGCAGGTCTGAGGCTCACGCACACCTCCAAGCTCAGGGTCTTGGCCCTTAAGAGACAGCCTAGCTTGGTGAGCAGGGAGGTCTTTAGAACAGATATCTGTGTGGCAGGCATTTATTGAGCACTTACTGTATGCCCGACTCCATTCTAAGCACTATCCCTGGCATAGCTTACTGCCTACCCACACGCTTACAGATGAGGAAACTGAGGCCCCGCTGAGTCACGTAACTGGCTGGGGGTTAGTGATGGAGTCTAACAGCTCTTTATCCGACATCAGTAGTCTCTGCATGCTGAGCTCAAGGAGGTTTGCTGGACACCAGAATGGCTGGTGGAGGGTCCAGTGGGGCCACCTCACCCCCACTGTGGGTCTGGGGTTGGGAGGGGGAGCCACTCTGTAAGCAGAAACCCATGTTTGGGAAGGAAGTTCCCTGGCCCCAGAAGTCCCCCCCCCAAAAAAGGCCCTTTTGGGCACTGGTGTGGTAAAGAATAGACTCTTCCTCTGGGTTAGGGGTCTGGGACGGCCCACGGCAGGGGCACAGAGATGGAAGAGACACATCCTCAGAGGTCCTTTGGTGTCCACAGGGGTCAGGCCACAGGCCAAAGGAACTCTAGACAAGAGAAGCAGGGGTGCCTGGCAGCAGGCCCCTGGGGGATCAGTGGCTGTGTGTGGTACACTAGATGTGCCCGTGTGTTGAGGGCACGAGAATTGCAACCAGTGAGTTGAAACAGGCTGGTGGGTGAGAGGGCCAGTGTAGGCCAGATACACAGCAGATCTGCACTTAGCCTTATACTTCTCTGCACTGCCTGCTCCAGGCTGAGGCCAGAGGGCCTACTGTGGATGGCTTCCCATCAGAGGGACCAGCCAGTGCTCTGCACAGGGAGGTGCTTCGCTGGGAAGGAGGACTCACCGTCTGGCCCACTGGCAGATAGAGCAGCCCCCCAACACGCACCTCCTGCCTAGCATCCTGTGCCCCTGGTTCATAGCCACAGGCTGTCCTTGGGGGCGAGTTCTGGTCTCTGGGCCATCTACAGTCCCACGCTGCCCAAGGCATCCAGAGCACCCACTGTGTGTGGGACCTGGCCTGCCGCAGACTTTAGGATGTGGCATCTGTCCACCCCAGCCTCCCCTGGAGGAGGCACCATTGTCTCTGTTTCAGAGGAAGACATGGATGCCAGGACTTTTCTGGGCCACATGGCTAGGATGCTGGAGTTTAGTGTGAAGCCCAGCCAAGGGTAGCACCAGGGCCTGTCCGGGGTGCCCAGCCAGGGAGGCCTGCTGGGGGCTGAGCCGGGTGAAGCAGGCTGTCCCTTTCCAGGGTGGGCAGGAAAGCAGCCATCAGATCACCCCTTCTTCACAGAGGAGGTTTAGGGGGCTCATCCTCCAGACATGTGCTCCAAAATTTCTCCAGATGAAGTGGGATAAAGTAAGGTGAGGGGCCCCAGCGTGCACTGGCGGAGCCTTGTGTGGGCCTTAGGTGCGTGTGGGAGGTTTGATGGTGAGAGGGCTGGTTCTGGGACAGGGCACAGTGCCTATCTAGGCCCAGCCTGGCTGCTTCGCTGAAGATGTGGGTGGCCTGGAAGGGAGCCTAGATGCCATACCTTGACCAGGAGTGGGTGGAAGTGAGGGAGTGTACACTCATTGAGCACCTCTGTATACGTCCCTCGGGAGCTGGGGATTTAGGCAAGAGGTCCCAGAGAGTGGAGAGGAGAGCAAAGCAGCCCAGCCCAAGCCAGGACCAGGGAGGTAATGGTGCACTGGGAGACGCCCTCTGTCTCCCACTCCTGGGAGCCCCAAAAGCTCCAATGCCACAGCCAGGGGAGAGTCACTGAGAGCTCTGTGGCTTCCCCCCACCGCAGATGCTTCATGGTCCCTGGTGTCCCCGGGCTACCACGTGTGAGGGCTGCTGCTCTGAGGCCTGGCTTAAGGAGGATGTCCCAGCCACCCGCCAGCTCCCATCTGCACCATGAGTGATGAGCGGCGGCTGCCTGGCAGTGCGGTGGGCTGGCTGGCATGTGGAGGCCTCTCCCTGCTGGCCAACGCCTGGGGCATCCTCAGCGTGGGTGCCAAGCAGAAGAAGTGGAAGCCTCTGGAGTTCCTGCTGTGCATGCTCGCAGCCACCCACATGCTCAACGTGGCTGTGCCCATCGCCACCTACGCGGTGGTGCAGCTGCGGCGCCAGCGCCCCGACTACGAATGGAACGAGGGCCTCTGCAAGGTCTTTGTCTCCACCTTCTACACCCTCACCCTGGCCACCTGCTTCTCCGTCACCTCCCTCTCCTACCACCGCATGTGGATGGTCCGCTGGCCCGTCAACTACCGGTGAGCTCTCCGGCATGTGCATGTGTGCACCTGAATGGTGTCCTTAGAGAGGGGGACACATGGGCGTGAACATGGAGACCGCCTGGTGCACCTGGGTGCACAGATGTCCTCGGTGTGGGGTGCCACACCTGTGCAGCACAGGGGGCTGCAGGGGCATGCTCATGTAGGTGTGTGTGGGTGTCTAGTGTCCAGTGTCCAGTACAGAAGTGCTGGCGAGAGGGACATGTGACAATGTGCTTACTGGAGGGCTGGGGGAGAGACCCCAGGAGTGATGTGAGGTCCCTCTGTCTTGCCCATGCCAGGCTGAGCAATGCCAAGAAGCAGGCGGTGCACACGGTCATGGGCATCTGGATGGTGTCCTTCATCCTGTCGGCCCTGCCGGCCGTTGGCTGGCATGACACAAGCGAGCGCTTCTACACCCATGGCTGCCGCTTCATCGTGGCTGAGATTGGCCTGGGCTTCGGCGTCTGCTTCCTGCTGCTGGTGGGCGGCAGTGTGGCCATGGGCGTGGTCTGCACGGCCATCGCCCTCTTCCAGACACTGGCTGTGCAGGTGGGGCGCCGAGCCGACCGGCGCGCCTTCACTGTGCCCACCATCGTGGTGGAGGATGCACAGGGCAAGCGCCGTTCCTCCATTGACGGCTCCGAGCCCGCCAAAACCTCGCTGCAGATCACCGGTCTGGTGGCCACCATCGTCGTCATCTATGACTGCCTCATGGGCTTCCCCGTGCTGGTGGGTGAGCCGTGGGGTAGCAGGGGTCTGTCAGGGGGCGTGGGCTCCGGGATAGCCCGGGGCTGGGCCCACTCCAGGCATTAGGTGGCTGAATCCTCACACCCAGTCCTTTCAGGGGTATCACCATTTTACAGATTCGGAAACTGAAGTCCAGAGAGGTAAAATGACCTGCGTAAAGTCAGGCAGCTGGGGTGGGATTTGAACCCACATCGGGTGGCTGCAGAGACCTGGGTCTTCCTGTCACACTGCAGAGGACTCTCCTCTTGTGACCTGAGTGAGGCCCATTTGATGCAGAGGGTGTGGAAGTGGGGTAACACGCCACAGGCTTCCTGGTGGGTCCAGACCCCAGGATGGACAGAGAGCGGTTTGGTGTGGCAGAATCAGCTTTTGTCCTGAGTCAGGAGGCTGGGCAGTTCTTGACTGTCTGCTGGGAGTTGGACTTGATCCCAGGGGCTGAGGAAGGCCAAGGTGAGGGCTGGTCTGAAGAAGACCCTGCCAGCAAGGGTCCACGGTGCACTGGGACTGCATGGGGTCCTGCCTGTGAGGCTGTGCCCCTGTGTGAGAGGCTAGCCCGAGAATGACGTCTGGACTCAGTAGCCAAGCCCTCCCACCCATATAGGGCTCCAGCCCAGCCCCTGAAGGGTCTGGAGCTGGACAGGCAGAGTCTAGGGGCAAGGACCAGATGGAGGCTTCATCCCAGCAGCTGGGCAGGGAGTCACTGCAGGACCTGAGCTCCAGAAGGCGACAGGTGAGGTGGCAGCCTCATAGTCAGGGTGCAGCTCCTGGCTACCTGCTGCCCCACCCTCAGGGGGCCCAGTACCCCGCCCCCCATCCCTTTGCTGATAGAGAGAAGGTGCACATGTGAAAACTGCAGAGCCAGGCAGGAACAGCAGTGGGGGAAGGGCAGGGAAGAGGTGCCATCTGCGGAGCCCGCTCCACACTGCCGGCCTGGTAGTGTCTGTAGTCCTTACTTCACCCTGTGGGGTGTTCTTGGTCCATTTCACAGATGGGGAGACTGAGTCCCAGAGAGGTTGAGCACCTTTCTGAGGGTCACACAGCTTACATGGAAAAACCAACATGATGTCTGTATTGTGCCCACACCTGCTTTGATAGGGAACAGTTAAATGTCACTCAGCGTGGGGGAAAGAACTCTCCTGGGGGCAGACGAATGAGGGGTTCCTGGGCAGGGACCCAGGGGCCACCTGGCTGGTCCCTCTGATCCTCAGAAACTGCTTTGATTTCTGCCCCGCCCCCCCCAGGGTCTGAGGCCTAGACTCGGAGAGTAGGGTCAGGGCCTAGGAGGCCACTAGCTAAGGAGCAGTGGGAGTGGTGGAAGCGTCCCTGAACTGGGAGGCTTGAGACCTGGCTCTCAAAAAGGGGGTGGTGATGTAACCCATGCCCCACCTCCTTGGACAGTCTCGGGGGTGAAATGTAGGAGGGCATGCCCAGTGCAGCCTGGTACGCTGTGAAGGGCAGTGCACACATGGGGCTGTGACTGCTCATCTTGGCAGCCAGCAGCCGTCAGTGGGCAGGGACTTCGACCCTCACACTCCAGCCCTTTCCTGCCCAAGAGCCCAGAGTTCTGTCTGTCACCTCCTCCTCCCCGCAGCAAGTGGACAGTCAGCTCTGCCACACAAATGGGAGGACTGAGGCTGGGAGGGGAAGCCGGGGGGTGGGGGTCCTGCCAGGTGCCAGGCCGTGCCCTGTGCCCACAGGTGGTGAGCTTCAGCAGTCTTCGGGCAGATGCCTCGGCACCCTGGATGGCGCTGTGTGTGCTGTGGTGCTCGGTGACCCAGGCCCTGCTGCTGCCCATCTTCCTCTGGGCCTGCGACCGCTACCGCGCTGACCTTAAGGCTGTCTGGGAGAAATGTATGGCCCTCATGGCCAACAATGAGGACTCGGATGAGGGTGAGTATGGCCTGAGAATGGTCCCCAGGGAGAGTGGAGCCTGGGTGAGGTCACTGGGGTCAGCAGGATAACAGCCATCAGATCCCCTGTGTTACCCCAAAGGTGCCTGAACCCCTAAGGGACCCAAGCTTGGTGTCCCACGGGGCATTCCTCTGTCTGGCCTGGCCACCCCAGGGTTCTGGTTAATCAGATGTTCTGGTTAACAGAGTAGCTGTGGACTCTATTACAGACTGAATGTGTTCCACCAAGTTTCTGACTTTAGGTGTCCCAGTAATCTGGCCTGGGGCTTCTGAGACCCAGGTGCTGTCTCCCGCCCACCTCCCACAATAACAATGTTACCCTTGGCTGAGCCCTTGCCACCTGCAGGCAGTGTCAGCTTCTTGTGTCTGTTTAGCTCCTGCCCCCACAGAGGAGGAAACTGGCTCAGTGTGTGACCTCCCCAGTCCCTCAACTAAAAGGTGGCAGAGTCAAGATTTGAACAGAAGACCCCACCCTTCTTTCCTGCTAACCAGCCCCCACCCTGTGTGTGCCTCCAGGGGTCCCTGGGACTCCTGGCCCCCAAGTTTCCATGGCCCTAAGAGTCTACCCTACCCTGCAGAGACCAGCCTGGAAGGTGGCACCCCCCCAGACCTAGTGTCGGAGCGCTCCCTCGACTACAGCTATGGGGGTGACTTTGTGGCCCTGGACAGGATGGCCAAGTATGAGCACTCTGACCTGGAGGGAGGCCTGCCCCAGTTCTACCCTCTGCGGCCCTTGCAGGAGGACAAGATGCAGTACCTGCAGGTAGGGACAGGGCTGGGCCGGAGACACAGAGTGTGCTGGTGGGAGGTACCCTGACCTCTCCAAGGTCTCCCCTTTCTGAGCCCATCTCATGCTTGCCACAGCTCCAGGGGCTGGCTGTCACCCTCCAGAGACAGGCTGGCCCCTGGTCACAGAGCCTCGCAGGTGGACCCATGGGAGGCACCCCAGCCCCGGTGCCCATGTTGCCTTGTGCTCTGGGAGGGTGTGCCATCTGGTGCCTGTGCTACTTCCTTGGGGCTCAGCTCCCCTATTCAAGGGGTCATCTCCCCAACCGACTCAAGCTACGGATGACAACAGTGAGGCCTGCAGGGATTGTCACTTGCCCCAGATCTCACAGCTCCAAACCAGGCAGCCCTGTCCGCTGTGGGGAGGCAGAGGTCCCCTTTTTTCCAGGAGGGCAGCCCAGGGTAACCTCGTGGTCCTGACAGGTCCCGCCCACGCGACGTTTCTCCCACGACGACGCGGACGTGTGGGCTGCGGTCCAGTTGCCCACGTTCCTG